TCAACCTCCTAGTTATACCTCTTTGACTTTATTAATGCGTCAACATATGTGGCAATGATGTGTTAGAGATGGGCTGTACGTCTTTTGCTCCCCAATCAGCTTTTGCATATGCATGTCCCCTTCTTTGGCTGATATAGAGAGCATGACTTCTCCCTTTTTATGCAAGGATAAAGAACAATATTGATAGAAATATCTAAGTTGCATTGACAAGTCTACCTAACTCTCTAGTTGATATTACATCTATAATCATGACAATCTTTCTGTCGTACATAAGTTTTTCCTTCTATTGTGAGCCACAATTCCAAATGCCTATCATGAAGGTATGAATAGTTAAAAATAACTTGCAAAATATCAAATGGTAGCGCCTAGCATACCGTTTCGTCGATGTAATCCTCGGTGATTGCAATCTAGAGCCCCTGAACCAGTATTAAAGATTTATTTTCATCTTTGACCAACCTTAGTTTCTAAACCAAACTGATAAAAATGAGGTACCTCTGGTTATCGGTATCCATAATGAACTTGATCACCACTTGCTTGACCTGCATACATTAAGAGGAACAACTCATTTGTCGATATTGGACAACAAACTAGTCAATATATCCCTCAAAATTACGATTAAAGATCAAGATATTTCCACCCCATACAATGAACTTAGCATTGTGTTTTCTGCTACAAAAATAATTGCTTTTCTTTCTCACCTTGCAAAGCTCAAGATATAGCTCCTAGCTTCTTTCTTTTTTTTTTTTTTTTTTTTTGGTTACGAGATCAAGTATCAGATACTGATCATAGAATATATCTAATCTTTTTTTTTTTTTTAAAGTTGAACGATCATCACTAGTCTTCCTTTTATTCTTTCTTTCAGAGAAAGAAAAACACTCTTCAAATAGTTCTAGACTTGTTCCTACCATCATGATTCCTACAATCTATATCTGTCACCATCACATTGGCCTAAGATTAATTAAATTAAGCAGAGTTCATTTGCTAAATAATGAACTGAGGTGTACTTCATAAGCGATTGTACCTCCCAAAGATCTATTACAACATGACCAGCTGAAGTTGAAATTCTAAGATGTATTTGTGTAAAAATTTTCCATGGCATTATCTCAAACTACGCTACTTCTTTTAGTGGTCTTAAACATACCCCATCTATCATTTGTTCGAATGGTGACCCATCTTTAGATGAACATTTCGTCACACTAAGGCTTGATGAATTAATTTCAATCATGAGAAAACAAACTTGACCTGAGTGTTAATATCCATATAAAGTTAATCTCTTGATCAATCCATGCGTCAAGCTTGTCCACTCAACTGTCACATTATAAATATAAATCTTCACTTTAAAATCCACATTCAATGGTTGCATCTTTCATTAGTTGTAGCAAATATTCTCCACTTCATCCTATTCAACCATGTTTGCATCCTAGCATAGGAGGAGAAAAAGAAAAATTTAACCAACTAGTCGTAGTAGTGGTTGTTTGCATCCTCATCCACAACATAGGACGGGCATTTGCTTTGTCAGTCTAGCAACCAAGCAGAATAGCTTTGGTGTAAAATTGTTGTTACTCATGGATTCCATTTCTACAACTTTTTGTTCTCATAACTTTCTTGACTCCTAATACATTTCCAATACAAGAAGTAAATCCCCATTGTATTTATGTACTTTCTTTGTTTATGCCACAAATAATCAGAGCTACTATTTTGATTTGTAGTCAATCTCTAAATGCTATTACATAAAAGCCTAATAAGGGATCAGAACAAATTCATAGATTTTATAATTTTTGTAGGGCTACCTCGAGCATTGTTTCATGTTGAAGATATAGTTATTTGCATCCTCATTCACTCCATCATGATGGTCATAAGCTCCACCTAGCTATCCAATTTGGCCTAGTTTTTTGTAGATTCATTATTAGTTGATTGGGTTTTTTTCATATTCTTCGTAATATTATCTCGTTCTTCAATTCTGATTTGCTTTCAAAGCATGGCTCTCCCGTATCTCTACATTATTTCTTTATTTCCAATGCTTTGGTATCAATTTGATCAGTTGAAACTTCTCAATATGATTGATGCATAGATATCAACTTGATCCATTGAAACTTCGCCCTATTACTGCATAACCCATAATGAGAGAAAAGAATGGAATTTTTTTTTAAAGGTTCTCTATTGATATACCAATCAGGAATACAAACACAGCTTCATGTTGTAGATAAATTTCCCTTTTTTTTTTGTTTCCTTTCACCAGGTTTTTCTTTTGTTATTCAATTCCTTCTCTGGACAGCACCAAAATGCTGGCTCATGCTTTCAGTTTCGCTGTACTGACCGTACGATACAATGTTTTGGGTATGATTAAATTTTAGGACAGAAAAAACATTCCCTTTTTTTTTGGTCTAGATTGTCGTAGCTAGCGGATAGCAAGTAAAAGCCAAATAAGCGATAACAGCACACAATAGTACACAGCAAGCTGAGCAACAACTACCAGAAGCAAACAAAGATGAGAGGAAGCAAATCAAAGTAAGCACACAGAAGAATGGAAAAAAGGCAGAAAAAAAAAAAGAAAAAAGACACCGGCAGTATTATGCAATGAGCCGCTATGCTAAAGCTCCTTGTACAATAGCCTCCTCCTTTTTTTTTACTCCTACAGCACTGAGACTTGGACCATTGGGGCTTGTGGAAAACAAACAAAGATGAGAGGAAAAGGAAATCTTTTTCAAAATTTAAAATGCAATAGGACCAAGTTCTCATTTTTTGGTATGAACTCCTAGAAGCATCCTCTTTGATCTCAACAACATAAATTGAGGAACCAAAAGTTTTTTTTTTTTTTTTTTGAGAAATCAGACCACTAAAACTTTTTGAGCTAACGTGTGATAGTTACTGCATTGTGTGGTAGTTAAGAACTATATTATTCCTCTCTGATCACAAAATTGAGTGGTTGTTAGAAGTAATTGAACTAAATCACTCAAAATTTGACTGAGTTCAAAATTAACTCAATTTTGAGACAAGTTTTAGAATGAACAACACTCACTCTAATATAGTTAATATATACAATTTAAAATGTTGCATTGAATGCTCACATAAACAAAATTAAAAATAATTTCAAATCAGATAAAAATTTAATTATTTTCAACTAAAAATCAAATGATTATTAGCATGAGTCTGCTCAATTTGAATCGAGTATGATTTTAAGTCCACCTTGAGTCTTATTTTGAGTTTAACAAAACTTTCTCAAAGTCAGCTCCACATTAGTAGTAGTCACATATGTGAACTTCTATGTATAGACCAACATACTGAATAGAGCTGAGCTATTTCCTTAATATAAATTATAAAGTGTTCTCTATACGGAGAGACAATTAACCAGAATTTACATCCACAAGAAGCCAAGATTTAAGCAAAACCCTGCAAACAAGTTAAATCTAGTTACCTAAACTGAACCTTAAAAGATATTGAATTTACAAGATTCAAGGAATTGTAGGGCCTGCCTTTTAGTGCCCATGATTATTGCATAAGACCACGTTCTTGATCACTCGCCCCCACTCAATGTTTAGCAAACCTCTAACAAGAAAAAAGTTTAGTCAACCAAATAGCTTGCACCTTAATTACAATATAATTACTGATTTAATCAACATTGCAATCTTAGGTAAAATGTCATCTAGAAAGTGTTCTCACAAAATCAAGTGCAGTTTACCAATCTTCGTCATTTGAATTTGTATTATTGTCTAAAATAAACTAATATGCCATCTATTACGGAGTGACTTAAAGCATTATAATCTTTTTCTCATTAACTTACAAACAAAAAGATCAAAAGCAATGACAGCCTTCTTCTTCAATCCGATGCTACGAAAGTAGTCATATTAAAACCGAAATATCAACATTTACAAGCTGATGAAATCAACTAATCAAACAGATGACATCAACTAATAAACAATATGGCACCCAAGAAATAAAGTAAACAGCTCCCTAACGAGTTAAAATCCGTAGCATTGACCAACTAATTTCCATATAAAAATATTTCTTTCCAACTATGCTCGTCATGTTAAAAGACAGGCTCTTTCCATAAGCCTTGAACATTTGCGCATAAGCAGATGATAAATTATATAATGAAGAAAAATTAATCTAAAGTTTCTACTACATATTCTCCCATACATGTCATCTACAGTTTCTCCTTGGGATTCTTAATATGTTTATAATAAGCTGTAAAAAATAAACAAAATTTTATTAGAAATAATCCTAACTCTCTGACATCACTTAAACTTTCTCTTTGAACTTTTCAACCTAAAATATAAAATATTTGAGATGTGAAATCTATCAAATTATCTCTATTAAAACGCATTTAGCATTGTTCTATAAGGTTTAAAGAATATGTAGATGCTAATTGTTAGCCTCATATGTAAATCAAGTACTGATATAAATTGTTTATTAAGGCTTCTAATTTCATAAAATATATCGACAATCTATTAATTTCACAATGCCACTGTCTATTATAATTGCAAAACTATATGTTACAGGCCGAGCCATCCAGTTCCCCCATTTGGCTCTGCCCTTGCTTTGGGACTGGATCAATGCACTCTTCTATTGGTTTTGAAACTAGAAACCAAATAAACTAGGCGCCAAGCACCTTATACATAGCACCATTGCATCTACGGTTTAATATTAAAGCAATATAGTTAATAATTAAAAAAACAATAGTTATTGCTACAATTCAAGTATTATCATGACGGACACATTGAAGCTACCAAAAACATTCCCTTACTGTCATATCATATACTCACATTAATTTATGGATTTTAAATCTTATAAGCATTCATCAAACATTCTGTTTATAAATAGGGCTATATTCATGCTATTAAATCATCACCTATGGCTTTATCCAAACCATTTGTCATGTTTTATGAACCCCTCATTTTCCATTCACTTCCTCTTGTCGCTAAATGAAACATTCTTGGTAAATGCAGACAGCAGCGCTTAAAAAGAATAAATCAAGAGGACAAACAAAGTTAAGACATTACCAAGCAATGAAGAAAATCTTGCTCTTCTGGCAGTTTTCCTGCGTCACAAAATCAAAATCATAGACGGCATATCGGCAATCATTTTCAGGCAGGCTTGCCAAGAAATCATCGTAGCTCTCAGCAGCACCTCCAGTTTTCTCCACAACCACCTCCTTTCTCTTCTCGTCAATTTTGAAGATCACATATCGATGTGTTTTCTTTCTTTGTAGCTCTAAGAATGTGTCCCGACAGTGATCAGCAACTCCCATCCCAGAGGAAGCATTAGACTGTAGCAATGGAAACACATTGTAAGAAGAGGGCACACCAATGCTTATGCTATTGCGACAGAAATTATCATTACATGTAACAAATGATCATGCATTTCAGTCCGACTAAATTTTTCATCAGATATTTTTAAGGAAGATTTACATATATACCACTCAATTCCTATTCATTTACATATCTAACACATCAACTTCAAGTTTTACATACATACCACCTTCACTTTTTGAAAGTTAAAAAGGTGGTATTTTTTGTTTGACATGAAAGAACTGGGTGGTATAAATGTAAAAAACAAAGTTTAAGTGTTAGATATGTAAATAAATAAGAATTGGTTGGTACGTATGTAAAGGCCCCTATTTTAAATTACAATCCATTAAATGTCACTCCCTAGTTGCAATCTGAGTACACAACAGGCAGCTGTTTGCATTCCATAAATTGACCAAGTTTTGCTAGATCTCAAACCACGATAACAAAAATTTATTGACGCAACTATACCGACATCTAAGAAAGCATATAACAATGATCCCTTAAAGACATTTTAAGATTCTAAGAAAGCGCCTTACGAATAAACCACCATAACAAAAATTTATTGAAGCAACTATACCTACATCTTAGAAAGCATAAAACAATGATCCCTTAAAGACATTTTAAGATTCTAAGAAAGCGCCTTAAGAATAAAACACATATTATGATGGGTATAAAGAGGGATTAACATGAAGACAAAATAAAAAAATACAAAAGATTAATAAGTTCAGGGGTTAAGAATTTGCTTTGGATTTACTTTTAATAGCGTCATTTCTTTCTGCATGGCTGTTTATATAAACGTTCATGGTTTATATTTCCATCAAAATATATTTATTAAGGAACAATACATCCGTAAAAGCATGGTTTTGAAAACAATACAAATGTAGAAGCACAGTTTTGAAAACCAAACCGGACCAGCCAGTCCGACCGGCTCAACCGGGAACCAATCACTGTTCCGGTCGGGAAGTTTGAAAGAATCATTTTCGCGCCGAACCATTTGTGATCACTTGGAAACCGTGGTTCGACCAGAAACCAATGAATCAGGTATGAGCACGAAAACCGACAAGCGAGAATATTTCCTTATTCAACAGCTGAGGTGCTGTAGGATTGCCCCTGCACGGCTCCAATTGTTGCTTCTCTCATCGACATGATCACCTCATTGTTGGCCATCAACTCGAAACTTGAAACTTGAGACGGATTGTTCCTTTTTCTGAATCTTCTTTCGCCATGAGAGAAAACATTTCGAGGTCATTTATGAAAGTTGTCTCGCCGCTAGAAGAAAAACCAGATCATTTAAATATTGAGGTATGAAATTATACATGTTATATTATTATTACATCATTTATGTCATTTAAATAAAGTTATAATTTATTATATCATCCGGTTAAATCATCGGTTCAACCTTTGAACCTTTGAACCACTCTCTTTACTGGTAATGTCTGATTTGATTCTCAGAATATTATATAAAAGAGAACAAAAAGATCTATAAAGTTATACAAAAAAAAATTTGGGAAGTAGTTAACCAAGAAGAGAAAAAATATTAGCAAAGCAGAATATTTTGAATATGAGGGATTTACAATACATACCGCAATTCTTATAAATTTACACGGCCAGCATCAGAAATTATTTAATATAACACTCAAATCTTTAACATTATATCTTATATCAAAAAAAAAAAAAATACTAACATTAAATTTTTTGAAGTAAAAAAACCTTTTCATGCATAGGTTTTGATGTAATTTTAACATTAAATGTTATAAATTTAAAATCAAACTTTTAAGTGTTAGATATGTAAATGAGAAAAGTGTCAAAATAAATCCCAGATCTTTACAAAGGGTCACTTTGCTCCCAAAGTTCATAAAATGTCATTTAGTCCCCAAACTTTTTTTAATATGGGCTGAAATAGTCCCCGGGCTCTTTAAAGGGAGGACTAATTCGGCCCTCTTAAAAGAGTCTAGGAATTAATTTTCATATATTCTGATATCCCTAAAAAAATAGCTAGGGGATCATTTTGTCACTTTATTCATATGTAAAAACATAATAATTGTTTGGTATGTATGCATATAAATTCTCCTTTGAAAACTGTCAACCAATATTTTAACTAAAGTGAATATCTGAAATTTTGTATTAAGGCCAAAAAAAAAGTGAGTGGTTGACCTTGTTAATTGTTAGACTATAAGAAGTCCAACTTAACTCGATCATTTTAGAATATTTTTTATTAGTTCGTGTGCAGATAAAACTAAAAATAGATGCAATGAGGAAACAGCCAAACGTGCAAATAATGCAAGTAACTTTTAGAAGAAACAAAAAATAGAAATGAGGTTAAGGACAAACTCACAACCCAACACTTCCAGAGAGAGAGGAGTAGTGCTTTGAAACTTCAAATATCAAATTGAATTTTCTCAATTCTAATACTCAAAGAATATCAGAAAATATAAAGCTTTTTTGTTATCACATATATAGGAGCCAACATGAAAATGATACGACTAAGTTTGAACAATGGGTAATTCAAGATTACCATTCTATTCTCATATTCATATGTAAGGGTCAAAGTCCACGACAGATAATGGCTACATAATCCCATGAATGATGAATCTAACTTGTAGTTTGCTATTATTTGGAATATTTGAGCTTATTTTTAGCATAAGAGCAAGTACCTCAATAAGCACTTCTAGCCAGAACCTCAATTCAGCTAATGCGATTTATGTCTAGCCACTAAGTCGCTTGGTTTAGCAGCCTTGGCAAATGTGCAATTTCATGATTCTTGCAGATGAGTCTCAAAAGCGCAAAATTAACGAGCAAGGGCTAAATTTGGGTGACTTAACCAGATATGATTATGACAACTTAAGGTTATAAGCGACTTAATACTCGCCAACTTTCAAATTAAAAATAGTGCAAACTGGTTACAATCAAGGACTTGTTAAAACCCTAGTCCTCATAATGAGTTGATTTACCAAAGGAATCAAATATGGCTGTAAATCAATTCTCTAATTCTTCTATCCCTGATGAGAAATCCAGAAGGACTGGAATATGGAAATTCGAAAAAAAACCCAATTCAATCCAAGTGACATGAACTTGATCTAAACCCTCTACAAAGATCCTTGACACGTTGTTAACTCACAACAACAATGCTTACAAAATGTATGGCTTGCTTGAGAGTTTTAAAACTTTTGCTTCAAGCATCATTCTTTTTTTTTTTTTTTGAAATTGCTTTTAAGCTCGTCGTCTTCTGCATAGATAAAAAAAATTGAGCATCACTCAAGCTTTGTTGTGGCTAAGGTACTCAAAAAGAAATGCATGGGGGTAGCTATTTGGAAAGGAGAAACAGAAGAAGAGATGCCTACATTCAAAAAAGTAATGATTTAGCACAATAAAGAAAGAAGTTAGGTCTCCCAAAAGCAAATTTAGTACCAAGGAGCCATCCAAGACTAAGGGAGTCACTACAATGTTGAGGGGCCTCAAATTATGTAGATGTTACTAATTAGGAATTAAGAAAAGATAAATGTTGTTGAGAAGGGCTCCAACAATTAACCTAAAATGTGCTTTGGAAGGCACAAACACAATGAAGCTTAGAATTGCAATGCCTGTAAATGCAGAAGGGAGTCCAGAATTCAACACTCAAAAAAAGTAAAACTTTCGTCTTAGATCTGATCTCTAAGCTCCAGCAAAAGTCAAAGGAGGCGACTCTCTTGCTGATTGGATAGACTTTAGTAGAAGGTGAGGGCAACCCTGAAGTCCCATTCTGAAGAGTATACGAGCAGAGAGCGCGTTAGAGAAACAGTTTTTGAGAAAATCACAACTAGGGATGGAACCATCAAGATAAGAGTGCTACAAGGAGCAACCTATATACTAATGATAATAAAACCAACGCTAAAGTTAACCAAGAGAGTGATTCTGAAGTTACCAACATTGACGGCAATAAATCACTGACTCTCAAATTCATGGTTCTCTGACAAGGGAAACTAACAAGTTCCCATTAAAAGAGACAGAGAGAGAGATTTTGTGGTGACGCTGCCATACTGAACTCATCATAGGAGGAATGGGGTGTTCAAGGATGAGAATTTTAAAGAGTACACTCAAAGCGCCTTCTAGCAAATATTGAGTCCCTGAAGTATGAGGTAACAAAATTTAAGGTAGGCACAGACGCCAAAAGGACCAGAATAGCAAAGCAAAGGAAGTTCTTCAAGGAGAGGATTGCAAGGTTTGAAGTCTCTAACCGAGTTGACTGACAACATGTCGATGAGGGCAAGCCAAATTCAACTAGTATGATAGTCACCCTTGCTAATTTGCCTAATAGATTTGCCCATAGATTGACAAGTTGGAGAAATGGAACATTCAAATGAGGAAGTTTTCAAGAGCTTCTTGAATAAGTAAATTTATAACCACTGTTTAATTCATAATGCATTACCTAATCCTGATAGATGATCTCGCTAGAGAGAGAGTTCTCGAACCAAAAATTGTTGCATATTATGATGAACATCAGTGACAATGCATGGGAAGTTATGGATAATTGGTCCTTTTAAACCATTCTCTTAGAAATTAACTTTAAACTTTTTTGCTTGATTTACCACTTCGAAAGAGGAATTGTAATAATTTATATAGATATAAGTTCATCTGATTTATGTTTTATTTTCTTCAAACTTGATGTAACGTATCTTTAAATACATGAAATCTGATCTTCTTAAGAAATTTCTTATTTTTGTCACGAAAAGTTTAGATCTTACTTTTCATTCTTTTTTATGTGTGATTGATCTCAATTTTATGTAGTTAGTCTTCTTTATGTAAATGTTCTAATTTATGAACTCAGCAGCTTAAATTTGATTCTCCACCAGGAAGAAATTATTCTGTTATGATGTCAGAAGCAGGATTTATATTTGAAGTCATTCTCAATGCTGACACTGGTAATTCACAATGAAATCAAACTTTGATCATGAAATCACCATTTGGTAGGGTTAAAGGCAATGTATCACTTGGAATCCCA